TATATATATATATATATATATATATATATATATATATATATATAGAGAGAGAGAGAGAGAGAGAGAGAGAGAGAGTATGATTGCGAGTATGTTTGCCTTGAGTGTGTGTGTGATCGTAACCGTAAGCGTGGGGGTTGCTTTTTGTGTGCCCCGTAACGGGCAGCGCTTGTTCGACAAGCCATCAGGGTCGGTATTTACCTATTGTCGTGACCTACAGGGACTGCATTACGTCAAATTTGGTTTCCCTGGTGTACATCATCTTCTTCTTTTTATAATCCGTGATCTCTCATTTCAAGTTCATTTTGTTGTATTTGCAGTTGTATGTCATTGTACTATTGGCTATGGAATCTGGGCGATTATAATCCTGGCTCTCACCACTTGAGTTGATTCATTTATTCTTGCAACTGGATGTCATTTTATTATTGGATCAACGTGTGACTCAGAATTGGTTCGGCTATATAATCTCAAACAATTATTGCCTAAGAGCGTTAGCATGTGAATTACAAGAAATAAGATGGGCGAAAAAAACAGCAATGAAAGGACAAACACGCAAAGAGACAGACAAACTAGAATCACACAAAATAATGTCCTCATATATATATATATATATAACATAAAGAAAAAGTAGGACATAATACAGCGTAACAAACAAGACACCATGCGATGTGTGAGAACAACGCCGTGCGCAATGAATTTCGCATCAGCAGATCAATGTCAGGTCAACGATAAAGTCATTCAACTAGTCAAACGCTGAACAACTCTATATTGTCACCCTCAGATTCCAAGCTCGATGTCGGGACCCAATCATCTCATTGAGGCACCACATCGTCCTCCACGTGACCGATGATGAAAACACGGTTATCCCCCACCGCCTCATGGTCGGAACCGGAGGTATCATCATCAACGACTTCTACTAGGTCGCCCCCACCGTTGACGAACAGATCGCGCGGCAATGGCCCGGCTCCATAAGGACAAACCTCCTGTCGCAGAAGCTCTCGAGCCCAGTCCGAAACATGAGCCGAACCGAACACGGACGCCGTCAACCTGTCCTGCCAAGAGTCGATCGCCTCCTGACCGTAGTATCGACGGAAGCCCGATCTCGTATGTATGGAAGTGCCCGCAGCTATGCGAGCAACGTACCCGACTGGGTCGCGCCAGCAGTGACTGTTCCATGAATCACTGCGATCGATAGACGCGCACAATAAGACTTCTCGAAATGCACCGACTTCTTCGCATATATGATGATGGTGCCCTGAAAAGTCTCCACCGCCGATGTGTGTCGAAACTCGACGTAGTACGGCGTGATGTTAGTGCTGCATTGTTTCCCGAGAACACACAGAACGAGCTCGTAGACCGTGTCCGTGCGGCTATCCAAAGGCAATCGTGCAGGCCCACCTGCCTTCTCGCACAAAACCTCCCTCAGGCTACCGCCGACACATCCCGAATGATCACCAACCCAATGATCAACGACTAACATGATGTCGCGGTGTAGACTGCTAGCGTCTCCACCCTCCTCCGTGCACAGCAGACAAGCGCGGAGGAACCACATCCCAACCTCATGCGCATGATACTCTGTCAAGCCGTCACGATCAGTCTCCAACGCTCGAGCGTTCGACCTCGATCCGTAGGGGTACATCTTCCGCATCACGACAGCGACGAAATCCGATTTCTTCATACGGTCCTCAACAGGTGTGAGGACGTCAGGTCCGAAACGCTGCTCCAACGCCTCCTTCAACCGCTTCTTCGTGAACTGCATAAATTGCGCCTCTGACACATACTCATGCGGGTTACTCACTTTCTTCGCTTCCTTCAGTTGCAGCATACCGTGGAAGTGCTTGCGAATGTTTTTTATTTTGTTGTGGCAATCCTTCTGCCACTCGATGTTCAGAGCTCGCAACTGCGGTCCCAGCGCGGCACAATCATCCGAGACAACGCACCAGATCTTCAACCCCTTCTCCATCAACCCTCGCAAAAGTTGCACGACGGCTGGCACCTCAAGCGCATTCGACGCCTTGTCTTCGATCTTTGGACGGAGAGTGTGCACACCCACAACAAGCCGAGTCTCGTACTCCATTGCGGTGATAGTGCAATGCTGCGCGCCTCTGGCAGAGTCATATCGACCATCGACCATCAATGTCACAGGCTCACCACAGCGCATCACAGTGTCAATGGCAAACTCGCAATATTTAATGCCCTGTCGTACGACCTTGGCATTCCACCCCTCCGCCTCCCCAGGTTCTGTGCTCATAAACTTGTAGAACGTGGGCTTGTGCACCGAGCACATCCCTAAACCAACACAAAAGTTGTCGAGGAGCGTGAACGTAAGGCCGGTGGTGACCATCGCATGAAAGAGTTGCTGCTGCAGTCGCGACTGATAGACGTTCGTGGTCACGAGTGTCGTGTGCCACGTCCATTTGCATTTCTTGTCGCATACGAACGTCAACTTACAGAGTTGTGCTGGATAGGAGACGGACTCCACAGACACACGGCATGAGCCCTTGTGCCACGGGCAATATAGATGAAACATGGCCAGCAATTGAAGGAGTTTGACCGACTCCAGAAACACAACATCCGGCGCCGTCGGTCCACTCCACAATGCCATCGCCTCCTCAACACTGGCACGGTCTATTTCAGGCCCAGGACCGCACTGGTCAACACCTTCCGAACTGTCCCACCACGTATGCGGCCGAGTAGGTGTCGGTGTATACCGACCCTCGCTGCGGGGTATACCGCGCCCTCTGTCACTGCGCTGTAATGCACGACGTGACGACGTGAATGAGTTTTGCGATCCCTCATGCGACTTCCCCAACCCTCCGCTCTCTGAACCCTGAACCCCCCGGAACGTAGTCAGCACTGGAATCGCCTTGCATATAACGCAACGTGAAATCTCGACCGCACACCCGAGATGGCAACGATGAAGAAATCACACTTGCTACCCCGACACCAAACTCCTCACGGATGGTTGGCAAGGACTAATGGAGCAGCAGATCAATAACGTCGTTGACCGGTCCGCGATGGTCACCCACACCGTCCATAGCATCGCGGAAAGCGTACAACCGCCTACGACACGCGTCCCGCACACACACACGCATGATGTTGTTGCCGCCCGAACACGGCGTGCCACCGACAGCCGCAGAGCTATCGACATCGTCAACTGGAGGTGTGGAATCAAGAGCGACAAAGGGAGACTGAGGTGGCACAGCGGACGAAGCGGCCGCCGCGCCGACGACGCGTGGACGTGAAACGGTTGGACAACGCCAAGCGTCGCTGCGATCTCCTGAAAGAGAAGCGCCTCCAGCGGGATATGGCGGGGCCAGCGCATGTGACCACACAGGTGCTGAAGGAATCTTGATCGCATAGTCCAGTCGTCTAGCCAGTAGTGAGGACGACAGCAACAGACCATCAAACACACCTCCATACGTGGCGTGTCACGAACCGCGGGCACACCCGGCGGAGAAGCCCCCAACACACCAGCGAAAGGCGAAATGGGTGTCACGCCCAGGCCAACGACGCCGCCAAACGCATGCGAAACGCCACCTCAACGCCTTTTCCCTAACTGGACCTCCAGACCACCGCTGTGCGGTGAAACACCCAACAACCCCTGCGCTGCACATGGAGATCGATCGACGCTTTGACGAGCATAGGGCGTCCCCTGCGCAGATGCCGCAGTCGGCGACGATCGAGCAGGAACAGCGTCTCCGCCTGTCGCTGACATTGTGAATGTCAGGGTCTGCACAGCGCCGAGAGTCAGAGAAGCATGAAGTCAGGAGTAGGCAATCAGAATGTATATATATATATATATATATATATATCGTCACAAACAGAACTGCCCGGTAAACCGTAGGCAGAGAGAGAGAAGAGGACAACAAACGAGGGGCTGTGACAAAGTGTATATATATATATATATATATATATATATATATATATATATATAAAAACAGAACTGCCCGGTAAACTGTAGG